GGGGGGCGACAACAGCGCGTGTGCGATTAGCTGCGTGAGACTCGGTAGTGTGCGTACGCTCACCGTATCATGGCCGGTTTGTGCCCATAGCCGCACGTTTCAGCTGTAGGGTTTGGATTGCGCGTGAGCATGTGGCCCGTCGGCAGCGGCGGGGTGTGAGTGGGGGACCCGAGAGTACGTGCCGAGAGTGCCGGCGGTCTGACCGAACGGCAGCGGCGGGGTGTGAGCAGGGAACCCCGAGAGTGCGCCCGGTCTGGCCGGACGGCAGTGGCGGGTTGTGAGTCTGGGGCCTCCCGAGAGTGCCGACCGTCTGACCGGACGGCAGCGGCGGGTGTGAGTGGTGGACCCGAGAGTACGTGCCGAGAGTGCCGACGGCCTGACCGGACGGCAGCGGCGGGGCGTGAGTGGGGGACCCCGAGACTACGTCCCGAGAGTGCCAGCGGTCTGACCGGACGGCGGCGACGGGTTGTGAGTCTGGGGCCTCCCGAGAGTGCCGGTCGTCTGACCGGACGGTCGCCTCTCGGCCACTCAGAAGCCATTGAAATCCACGTTCTGGTCCTTTGGATGCGGCTGCCGCTCTCCGGTGCTGGCCGATGGAGATGGCAGGTGAAATGGGGCCACGCCATCCTTTCGTCACCCATTCGTGCGCTTCGGGCTCGAAACGGTCTGGTTTTTAATTAACGGGATGCGTCAAATTTCCACCACAGGTCTATTTTCAGTAGTTGTCAATGTCATTGCTCGCTAGTTGCAGGAAACGAACTATTCTGCGAACTATGTCATCATGTGTTTCGATTCGGCGGTGGTGTGCGACACTGACGGCCGGCCGGGCTCAGTCCCGCCACCGCCGGAATGAGGTCGTAGTCCAAGGTACAATCTGGGATAGTGGTCGACTGTAATCTCGTCTTCATGCACATACCGCCGCTGAAAGCAAAGATAGGTATGGATCGGCGCGGCGCTTGGCGTGTGACTGAGCGTGTCTGGGTTCGGAGCTGGTGAGCCGCTGAAAGGGTTGGTGCGAAGCTCCGTTCGGCGCGGTATCGGCGGCACACCAGCGGACGGCCTCGCGCTCCGTGGCCGCTCCCAGAGCGGAGCCTCCTCCGGCTCCCGGTCACAGCACTGGCGCTGTTGCTTTACTCCACCGTGGCTTCTACCCGGCCGCACGTTTTCTCGGATCTGGCTCCCCTGACGCTCCTGCTAAACTCCGCGGTTACTCGCCTCCGCGATCCGCGCGATCGCGCCTGCCTCCGCCCGCGCCACCCGGCGGCCGGCCGGTCCCCGTCTGGGCGGCGTGTTGCCGGCCGGCCGGTGCCGTGCGGCCGGCGGCCGGCAGCCGGCACGGGGCCACCGCCGCCGCCGCAGACCGCCCGCTCTCCGGGAAAAACGTGGCGTGACAGGCCGCCGTCGGCCCCGGGATCATAACAATGGCCAGTCAGACGGCACATGGCAACGGGTGCCGGCCGGCGCGGCCAGCACGACAGCAGCGGCAGGCGGGTCCCGCCGACGCGACCTGACGAGGACGCGATCTGGCCCCCCGGTCACGGGCTCGACGGGGGGAGCTGGGGGCGGGAGGTGCCGCGGCCAGCTGCGGCACGGCCTTCGTAGGAGGCGGCGGCGGCTTTGAAACCGGTCGGCTCCCCAGCTGCTGCTCGTCTCAGCGCCGCCCAGACGGCTGGCCGGCCGGCAGCCGCCCGCGCCGAGCCGCAGGTCGACAAACACGGCCGGCTCCGGCGCCGCAGCGGTACTGCGGCCGCCGAGCCGCTCGCTGGAGCCGAGCTCCACGCTGGCGCTCAGCGGCGTCCGGGTGTGCCAGGCTGGAGCGGGCTGGCGGAGACTGAGGGGCCGCCCGCCACCCGACGGTACCCGGGTGCTTTACTGTTGCAGGGAAGCCGCCCGCCGGGAGCGTGTCTCCGGCCGAATCCCCTTGCAACATGCTGGATGTGCAGCACCCCGATTAAACTCGTACAAGGTCGCAGCTGGGCTGGCGTTATCTGCCCCCCCCCCCCCCCCCCCCCCCCCCTCTTGCCTCTCCCCAAGCGTCTGCAAGCGCCGGGGTGGCTGCCGTCTCCACCTCGCCAGCCCGAGAGCGCGGTTTTCCGTCATTGCGACGACCGGTTTGCGATGGGCGCCGTCGGCCGGTGTCGGCGGTGGGGCGGGGGCGGGCTCCAGCGGGCCGCCGCCGGCCGACTGTTGCCATGCGGCGCGGCCGGCGGCGGCGCGCGCCGGTCGATGCCGCCAGCTCGGCTCTGCCCGGCCCGCCAGCTGACGGACGCGCGCCGAGCACCCCGCCCGCACCCACCGCGCAGGCCCCGCACAGCCGACACGCTCATCTGCCTTGTCGCGACGCCTCCGGCGACTGGACTGGACTGTCATGGATTGGACCGAACTGGACTGGACTGGACTGGACTGGACTGGACTGGATTGGACTGGACTGGGCTGAATTAGGCTGGAGTTGATTTGGAGTCGTCCCCGCCCGCAATGGGCGCCACATGAAGAACGTAGTCGGTGTACCCCGAGGCCTAAATCATCATCATCATCATCATCCCCGCCCGCAAAAAGGGCGGATGACCATTTTTCACGCAGGATGTCCGGTGGAACTAACGCCATTTTCGTGACTTCAGATGTCACAAAACCGACCCACCTCCCCATCTCGCCCTGCCGCTCGGGCTGAGGAGCGCAGCCGCATGCCGGTTGACCGGTGGTGCCAATTATCCTATCTGAGCGCGGTCTGCAGCGCCTGGGCCGCCCAGTGACTAACCAAACACCCGTTCCGTCTGCGATCTATTGCACGAATCATTATGGCACATCGTCTTCGCAGAATGTGATGACAAGATTACGAAGTGAGGTATTTTTGCTTAGGCGGTGTTAGAAACGCGAAAAAAAATGGCAAAATCTTCTATTATTAGGTGCCAGTGCTTTCGAATCGTAGAGTCGGGACGCATGTGGCTTTTGAAAAGTACGCAATGCGCTTTTAGTCTGCGGAAATCCTTGGCATTGGATTACAGAGTCCAGCCTTCGTTTTGCAGCTAAGAGTGCTGGCGGACTCGGTGTCTGCGCAACTTCCGTTAAGTTGAGGAGCTGGAAAAGCGACATTTGACTCGTTGTTTTGTGTGCAGCGCCTCAGGGCTAACGTTAGGCTGTGCCAGATTGGTGCCACTTTTCCCGGCGCCTATCGGGGTGGGGATGGGGATGAGGTCTAGGTGTTTGTGCCGAATGCGACGGCACCTATGTTTTTCAGCGAGGACCTCATGTACCGCAGCGTTTCGTTCCTATGTGGATAGATGGTGCCATTCAGCCCATCCCGTGGGGCGGTTCGTGATCTTCTCTAAGCGTCGTGTGGCGGATGAACTTCGCAGGACTGGGGATCGATTTACTTTTCCAATATGAAAGTTTTTGATGGCGGAACAAAACTGGCCCATTCAAAAACGACGGCGAACCGCTCTGCATTTCCATGCAACTCGTCGCTTCGGCTTGGATATACTGGGGAGGGTTCTAGCTGGTGGCCATGGCTGTCCGGCTCGCTTAGGAAAACGGAAGGTGATGAGGGTTATAGTTGAACATAAGTGTGGGGCTTGCCTTCAAACCTGTCGGCGCGTTCCGGCGCCGCTGGTTACCCGAGGAGGCCGCGCCCGGGGAGAGGGCCGCCGGGCCGGCAGCGCGAGGCTCGGCGGCGGAGCCTCGGCAGCGCCGGTCGGCGCCGGCCCCAGCGCGGCAGTGACGGCCGAGTCGGGCCGAGTCGGGCCGAGTCGGCCGAGTCGGGCCGGTCCGCCCCGCCGACCGTCAGCCGGAGCCGGCGGTCCCTGACGGCCGAGGTCGTGTCGGCCGCGGTCGGCGCCGGACGCTGCGTGCGTGCCCGAGCCATGCAGAATACCATGTGCGCTTCGCATGCCGCCTGTGACGTCGCCAGCGCTGAGTTCACACTCCGGGCCACGGATGTTGGAAGTAAGCTGTAAACAGGCCGTCTTTGTGAGGCTTTTAGGGACAGAGTGAGTGGACGGAGTCATGATCGTGCATGCACTCGGTGTGTCGCGGGGCACCCACATTCGCACGTGATGGCCGGCGCGGCTGCCTTTCTCCGCGGTGAGGAGCCAGGCGTCTGCTATACTGGGACTTGTAAATAGATCTGACTATAACGCGGGCCAACGTCGCCTGATGCAACACGGGTGTTTTGGCCTGGCTGGGGCCTTATGGGACTGATGAAATTGGTTTAAATGGTCTGCAGGCAGGAGCCTGTCAGGGGACTCAAGGAACACCGCAGGTCCGTACCTTTTCCCATGAGCCTGTTATCTCTGGGCCGGGTGTCATGTATTCCAGTATTATTTGAGGTCTTCGAGTTGAGAGTCATCATCACCATCATCATCACCCCATTCTTCAGAGAACTGGGGTCTCGTTTTCCGATCCATCATCAGCGTTTTGTGCACTTGTCGCCGGGCCTGAGCCCGTATGTCGTGCGCGAACGTATCAAGAGTATCTGCACCCACCCGTGAGTGCACAGAGCGGAGGGGAGCCGCGCTGTCAGAAGGCCCGGCCGCTGGGTCCGCTGATGGGCCACTGTCTTTGTTCGCCGGCCGGCCCGACCGCGGCGCCCGCTCCGCTCGGCCGCAGCAGTTCCGGCGGCGACCGACAGGCGGCGCTAGCGGCGCATGCTCGGTCGGTATCCGCCATGGCGGCCCTCCAACCAGCTCGCCCGGTCGGTGCCGCGGCCCCACTCGGCAACAGAGGCCCGCGACGGATGGCGGATGCGATGCGGTGCCGGCGCGTCAGGCGCTCGCTGTGTTCCCCTCTCGTGTAGAAGATGCCAAAAGTCACAGATGTTATCAGTGAAAGCATGAAATGTGCTAGTGCAGGAGACAAGCCGACGAAGAAGGACCGCCCCAGCACGGCGATGCTGGCGACGCGCGTCAACAAAGATAACTACATGCTGTGCGGCAACGCCCGGGGTGACAATCCCAGCAGTGGTGATACCACCGGTGACAAATGCGACCATCTGGCTTCTCCGGTAGAGTGCGGCGACTGCTTCCACGGCCCGTGCGCGCGCTGCAGCCCGCTACACCCCTGCCAGCGGGCCAATGGAGAGGCCGCCTCGCCACGGACGTTCGCCGAACAAGTGGTGAGTACAGCACGGCCGGGCTGCCGCCCCTGGCCCGGCGCGCCCCCGCCCCCCGCCGGCGGCCCGACGGGCCGGGCCCCCTCATCTCTTCTCGCCCTGTCCTTTCACTTGCAGCGCGGCGGCAGGTGGGGCCGCCGCGCTCCGCGCGCGCCGGCTCTGGTCGCGTTCTCGGCGCGACTCGCTCCTGGTGTCGTCCTGGTGCAGCCCACGCCGGATAGGCTCTCCCGATGCAAGCGGCTCCTGTCCGGGTCCGCTGGGTGCGACGGGCTCCCAGCAGGGTCCTCCCGCTCCCAGTGCAAGCTGGCAGTATCCTGGTCCTCGCCTGGATGCTGGCGGCAGAGCCCAGGTCTTTTCCGTGCCTCAGGTCCCGTGGCGTCTGCGGCGGAGGCACGAGTCGTTTCTGAAATGATTTCGGGCTGGAGCCTGGTGCTGGCAAACCCCCGATGCGGGCGCGGCCCGTGAATCGACGCAGCGGTTTCCGATCACGCAGATTGTCTTGCTTCTTACCGTATGATTTGCTGACGGGTTGACGGAATTATTTCAGTGCAGATACGAATGTGCTTTAATTCTAGCTTCACGTTCCGGTGTGAACATCAGTCTGCATTTCATATGTTTGGCAGGGAAACTGTAAGGCTTTGGGGCTCAAAAGTATTTTGCCTGGGTTCTAGCTGGCTGCCGCGGTACGGTCCGGCCCGGTCCGGCCCGGGCGTGAGGGCGTGACCTGGGTCCTGGGCCCGACCTGAGCTGGCTAGCTGCAGCCCCTTGCTGCTGACGCTGTGATCCGGGCCTGATCTGAGCTGCCAGCTGCAGTCCCTCGCTTCTGACGCCGCGATCCGGGCCTGATCGGAGCCGCCAGCTGCAGCCCGCGCTCCTGACTGTTCCTGGCGCCGCGGTCCGGACCTGACCTGAGATGGCTAGCTGCAGCCCGCCCCCGCTCCTGACTGCTCCTGACGCCGCGGCCCGGGCGGTGCCTGACTGGCCTGTTCTCGGGTGACGGCTGGCGGCCGCCCGACTGGCGCTGGCTCGGCTCGGCTCGGCGGAGACCCGGCCCTGCCCGGCCCAGCCGGCGCGCCGCCGGCCGCCGCACGATCTGTGCAGCAGCGCACCGGCCTAGATTGTGTCCTGCGGTCTGGGCCTGGTGTAGTATCCAGCCGGGCTGTCTTTGAAACGGTCTCGTGATGGCTGAAACGGTCTCGTGATGGTGTAAAACACACATTGCACGTATGAAGCCCGGTCATTTAGGGGGTGGATGAGAACGGCTTACCTGCGCCGGGCATGGAGAAATAAATCAGCGAAATTACTAGGGGAGATTTGCAAATGACTGGGTGATTAAAACTGGAGCCATCGCGTTCTTTCATGCAGTGCGTGCATTGTAAGGCGTTAATAGAGCGCTACTCGTTAAAGGTCAGCATCCACTTCCAAGCTGACCTTCCTTCACGTCGGGCGGAGTGAATGTTTCTGTCAAAGGCGTTTGGCCGCTGTGTGGAGCTTGTATGTCCCTGAGGCTAGACACTGCTGTTGCTGAGTGGCGCGTGTTAGCCGGCCGCCCAGGCTTCCAAGGCGGCTGAGAACTTCGCCCAGACGAAATTCGCAGAACTCCACCGCTTTGATTGTTACCGTTGTCAAGTCAGCGCATGCAGAAATATACCTACTGGCCTTTGTTCGTTTGCAGTCGGGCCTCGAATTCGTCGTTAAGTCGGGTTTCCATATTTAAACCACCGACTCAGTCCGCCTGGCTGAGACGGCCGCCACCTGCGGCGATTGGACCTCGAGTGGAATCGTGTCAGCGCCTCCCGCTGGCCACGGAAAGACGGTCGGAAAGGCCGGGACACGTCCGTTCCGCTCCCGCCCAGCAGGCCTCCAGTCACGGATCCACGCTGCGCTCGGCCCAAACGGGCTTCGACTGCTCATATGGCGGTCGTGTGGAGCTTGAAATGACCGCAAACAGAGCAAATCCAGGCTTGATCGTGTCTATTCCGTGCGATTGTGCTTAGGTCGTAAGAGCTCAGCATAACCTACCAGCTTTGACGGTGTTTGCCGTGTGGCTGGACAACGCTACGCTTCACCAGCATTTTGGTGACGAAAACGGTGTGACGCGTGCGATATCCGAGTTTTTGGGAAAGGTCACCTCGTTTGATTTCGCCGTACCTTCGGTCGGCTAAAACCAGTGTCGTCACGAAATCACCGTCGCCTAGCCTTCATTGTGCAGACTTGGTCATTTCGAATTCACCAGCGGGCCGGCAATGCGGCGTGATTTCCAACAGAGCCGTGTCGACCCCGTCGGCCGGCGCGGCACCATTGCCGGTGGGTGCTTCTGCACCTGACCACCTGTGGCGTGTCTGGACTCTAATCCGGCGATTGTGCTCCGCCGTCTGGTGGCTCTGACCGGGAGCATGTCGCTGTTGCTATGCATCCTGCAGGCTGACGGGGCGCAGCCGGCGGTGATGATCTGCCGCCGAGTGCATGCGGATGCAGCCAGCAGCCAGCGCTGCCCCGAGTCCGGCCGGCCCCGGCCCCGGCCCCGGCCCCGGCCCGGCCGCAGCCGCAGCCCCAGCCCCAGCCCCGGCGCCAGCGGTGGCGCCCGTTGAGGCCACCCTGGGGCCGCCGCCCGCTCGCGCGCGCGCGCGGGGTCACCTGTCCGCAAGGGCCGGCGGCGACGGCGCGCCGTCACACCGGCAGAGCCGTCCGTCCGTGTGCAGCTTCGTGGCGCCCGATGGGGTGGTGCTGGGAAAACGTGAGCGTGCGACTGGCTCCGGCGTACAGGGACACAGTTAACGCCTTGTCGCAGAGGAAAAATATGGAGGAAGCTGTTCAGGGATGGCTACACTTTGTGTTTACAAGATACCAGCCGACCGTCCTTCTTTGTTTATAATGGGATCCTCTTAAACAGACTGAGGCCTAGGCTGCGCAATTTATGATGTTTTGGCTTTGTAATCCGGGTATAGAACGGTCGGCTTTCTGCGATTATATGACTGCCGTTCATGAAAATGGCAGATGGCTTGGGCCGCTCAGTGCCTCAGATTTTCCCTCGAAATTCAGCCTGAAGGCGGGCGCCTGCGTCCATGTGCAAAGTGACCGTTCCCAGCGCCGCCTCCTGGTGACCTTAAATTGCTGCAGCGACCTCGGATATATTGGCACGGCGCTGTGCAGCAAGGAAGCAGCGCCCCTTCCTGGCCTTTCGTGAAAGTTCAAACGTCGCCATGTGATCATGGCATGATTCAGCCTCACGGAGCCGTTTCCGCAGCCCCGGGGACGTTGCTACGTTCGTGCTGGACGAGCTGAACAGGATCGTGCCTGTCAAGGTTTTCTAGTTTTGCAGCGTGGAGAGAAAACACGTAGGAAAACACAACGTCTCCTGAAGGTGTAGGATAGCATGTCGGCGCAGTTTCCAAGCATAGGCAAGGCAGCGTGTATGGAGGCAGATACGCGCACGACTGAGCATTCTTTGTTGTGTATGTAATGTGGCTGTCCTGCGCTATGCAACTCACCTTAGGCGCAACCAAGGGCGTTTCGTTCCCAGCCATCCACACTGGCTACATAGCACTTGAGAAACCTTAGGAGAGCGATAGTTTGTTCCTCAACTGTTAGCTCTTAAACGGTATCGTAATTATAAACTGTTACCTGTTATCAAATAACCCAGCTTATAACGAGCTCTGAACTATCACAGACCATGTGTTTCGCAAGAAACCTTCAGATTTTCCTGGCGCCACGTAAGCTTGTTCTGTAGACGGCCATGTCTTGGACGGTGTCCAGAGAAGGGCTGAAAGCCCCGTGGAGCCCGTGGATCGCTCGCTCGTCAGACGTCCGGCCGCGCTGTGCGGACGTGTCGCCGGGCGTAGCGTCGCCCCGAGTGGGGCCGGTGGCAGGCCGTCGGGGTCGGGGCAGCGGCGCAGCTGCTCCGCCGGCCGCCGCTGACCCAGTATGAGCGGCCGCTGAGCCGGTTCGGCCACGTGGTCACCTGGCCGGCCGGCCGGCGGGGCCCCAAAGGGTGGGCGCCGACCGGCTGGCCAGCGCTGCGGCCGGGCCTGTCCGCCGCCGCCGCCGCCGCCGCCGCCGCCGCCGCTAGCCCGCACGGCAGAGGCACAACCAACGCTGGGTTCATGACGCCCCACGGACCACGCTCCGGACCACGGGGCTCGTGGTCCGGGCCGAGCGCGTTTTTCACCACCACCACATCAGTGAACATTATTTGACGTGCTGGTGCTCTGAAAATAGGTTGCTTTTCTTTTCGTTTTGTAGACTACTATTAGCAGGGGACGTGTCAAACAGCAGTATTGAAGTAGCAGAGGCGGCGTACTGTCGAGTGGACATGTACGGTGCCAAGCCGAGATTGTTTTCATCGCCAGGACGAACCAACATTGGCAAACCAGTGACAAGTGCGGCGCACCACCTTTAAGTGTCTGCCGTCTGTGGTCAGCTCATGAAGTCTAGGTGCTTCGAAAAAGTTGTTGGACTGGACCCTAAAAAAAAAAAACAATCGTCGCCGTCTCTGTCGGTGCTGCTGGCTGCGCCCCTGCTGCGCGGCGGTGCGCGCCTCGCTCTCGCATGTGTCGCCGTGCCGTGCGCTGAATGCCGCGTGCAGCTGTGGAGGCGCTCGGCCGGCGGAGCACGGCACGCCGGCCGGCCGCCCGGCCGCCTGGCAACGGCCCAGCCCGCGGCACGTTTCTCCTCCACTCCTCCCTTGCGCTCCTCGGTTTTCTCCGCAGCGGGCGGCTCCCGCGCGCCGCCTGGTGGCGGTTGCCAGGCGGGCCGGCTATTACGGCGCGCGCGGCGTGCTCGTCCCGGCCTCGTCCGATTATGGTCACGAAGCCGAGTGGGCTGGCTGGCTGGCGGCCGGCTGCGGTCGGGGCGGCCGGCGAGCGCGCCGTCCTGCCGATGTTTGGCCGTCGGGCGGCCAAGTGGGTCACCGGCGGCAGGCCGACGCTGCGCCGCCGTTTTTGTCACCCCGTGCAGCGCCCCCGGCTCGACGGCGGCGCTCTCTCCGGCGCGCGCCCCCTCCCTGAGCTGCGGGCGCTATTCCTGCGCGTCCGGCGCCGTCCGTCAGCGTTGGCGGCGGAAGGCTGATGTGGCCCGGCCCGGCCGGCCGCCGGCTGCAGCCCGCTGGAAATAGCGCAGGCGTCTCGTCCGCAGCCTCCATTGAATGGGGCCGCCGTCTTCGACCGCCGGCGCTGGCGGCGGCGGCGGCGGTGCTGGGACGTGCTCTGCCGGCCGATGTGCGGCGGCCGCCGCCGGCCGCTCCAGCACCGCCCGGCCGGCTATTTATACCGGGTCGATATGTTCTGGCTATATCTCGGCATGTGCCGGTCTGCCGCGCAGCGCGCCTGGTCTGGGATGGCGGCGCCTGTCGCGGCCCCGTCGGCGGCTCGTCCCACCGGTGACGGCACTGACGACCGGTGGTGCCCCAGCAGCCCGGTCATCGGAAGCGGGCGCCGGTCGAAGCGGTGGGCCCAGACGCCATCACCGTGCCGGCCCGGCGCTGCTTGGCTCACGGCGCGCCTCAGCTGCGCGCTGCTGCTGGATCAGCCGCTGGCAGCGGCGGCAGCGGCGGCCGCATCGAGAGGCCCGGTCGCCCCGCCACCGATGTTGGGTCACGCTCTCGCTCGTGGACGCGATGCCCGTCGCGAGCAGGTTTTTTTTTTGGCGCGCCTGCCCGACGGATGTGGCGGAGCTATAGCAGCAGCAGCAGTGTCGGTGTGCGCACCGTCTCGAGCCGCCAGCAGCCGGGGCCGAGCGGCGGCCGGCGCCCGCGGTGGCTGTGGCGCCGGCGACCCGGGGTCGAGGGCGTGCCCTCCAGGGGCGACCGTGGCGACCGCCCGGACGGCTCATTCGGCCCACTGGGGACGCTGCGCGCCAGACTGGATTAGTGTCGTTTACCGACAGCGCCGAGGCGCGGCCGCAGCGGCAGCCGGTCGCCACACGGCACCTGAATTATTCAGGCGGCCGTGCCGACCTGCGCTTACGAGCTGTATAAGATGAGCGATGATAAGCCGCGTCCGGCGCGCCGGCCGGGCCCTTCTTTGTTCGGCGACGAGAGAGCGGTCGCTGGCGACCGGCGCTGGTCGGCCGCCGCCGCCTCGCGCCCGCAGTCGACTCCGCTCCGTCGCGCCCAGCGCCTCGGCGAAGCGGGTGCAGATGCTGAGGCGGGCTGAAGCCAATTTCGGCGCGCGGCACCTATCCAGTTTTTCCCGAGGCCATTTGGTCGTGCTTGGCAGCTCGGCTGCAGCGGATCGTTACGTCACGGCGCGGCACCGGATTGGCTGTTGCCAGGCGGAGTTGGACTCTTCCAGCCGGGGGGAGGCCGTTTGTGGCCCAGAAATGGCCGCCCGGTGGCGACGCCCGGCCCTGTTCTCATCTGGCCGCGGCCGCGGCCCTGGATGGTCTGCTGCGCTCGGTTGGCCTGGTATAGCTGCAGGTCAGCTAAGAGGCTGGAGAAGATAGGGGCGAGAACGTTTGCCTCGTCGCCTTCGTGTAATGGCGCAGGGCAATTTTGAATTTGCCCGAAGGTGGAGGCGGTCGCCCCACTCACTGGTGCCCCCTGTTCGGCCATCCCCGCTCGTGTCAAACCGCCAGCCCTGTGAGCGATGCCACGCTGTGGGTCCGGAGGGATGTGTGAGAGGCCGGGGGGGGGGCGAGGTCGCGGTGCGGACCGTCGAAAGCTCTGGAACACATTGTCGCCGTGCCAGCATGGCGGCAGCTTCGCGCCGGGGAAGCCGTTGTCAACCCGCACCATTGTCCGGCATGGCATAAATGTTGAACGGACGGCTTTGAAAGCGTTGTAAACCGGGCTGCAGTGGGGCGCGCCCTCGGCAACTGCATAATGCGCCGCTGCAGCAGCGCCGGCGGACTGGAGTGTGCGCGTTGGCCGCCGGCGCGCAGCCGCGAGGACGCGCCGGTGGACCAGGGTGTGCGCGGCCCGTCCACGCCGCGCCGACTGCCCTGCCGTGCCCCGTGGCGACGGTGCCCCTTTGCCCGCTCACGCCGCGCCGTGTGGGGCAGGCCGCCGACCCACTGTCTGCCCCTGCACTTTACAGTCGGCTGCCGCCGCTTCGACGGGCCGCGGTCTCGCCCTGCGTCCGTCCGTCCGTCCCGGTCTCTGTACATGTCCATATTCATGCTCATGTTCATATTCATGCTCATGTCCCTGTCCCTGTTCCTGTCTTTGTTCCTACCCCTGTCCTTGTCCTGGTCCCGGTCCCGGTCCCGGTCCCGGTCCCGGTCCCCATACCTGTACCTGTACTTGTTCCGGTCCCTGTCCCGTCTCTGTTCCGGTCTTTGTCCCTGTCCCTGTTCCCGTCCTTGCCCCTGTGCCGGTCTCTGTTCCCGTCCCTGCTCCTGTGCCGGTCTTTGCCCCTGTCCCTGTCTTTGTCCCCGTCCCCGTGCCGTCAGCTGACCGCGGCCGGCCGGCCGAGCGCCGGCGGCCTCGGCTCTCACTGGCCGGTCGACGACCCGGCCATCTCGCCGGCTGCAGCTGTTGGGGCAGGCCGCTCGCCGCTCGCTTTCGGTTCGGCGCGCGTTTCGTCACCGCACGGCGACCACGTGACGCCCCCCCCCCCGCCCCCCCCCCCGCTCCGCCGGCGGTAATGAATGGTAGCGGGGGGGGACCATTGGCGCCTACCGTGGCGGCGCCACGGGCGGCGGGTGCGCTTCATTATCGGCCGGTCGTTACCAGCTCGCTAATGATTGCTCTCTTTCTCGATTCCAGCCAATACACAAGTGGACCTCAAGCAATGTTCTGGAGTGGATGGCATCTATAAATTTGATTAATCCAGTAGAAATTTTCAAATCCATGAATATCGACGGCATGGAGCTCCTCAACCTGGACAAGGAGAAATTGATGGTGAGTACCAGAGCGGTGGCGTGGTCGTGGGGTGCGCGCGCGCCTCCCTGCGTGTGCCTCCGCGGGCGCCCCCGTTGCCCGGCGGCGCTGTGACGGCGGTGGCGTGACACGTTCCGCCCGGAAGACCTTGAAGCCCAGCTGGCGCGAGCGGGGGCAGCGCGGCGGAAAGGCGGGAGAGAGCGAGGGCGACAGAGGGGAGGAGCCGTCCGGCCTGGCAACAGCGGCGGCGCCTGCGTGCCGGGCGGGCCGCGTCGGATTCCGGGAATGGCCGCGCGGATTCGGGCAGCGCCGGACGGGCGGCGGGCCGGCCGGCCGGACCGACGCGGCCTGGCCAAACCTGTCGAACGGGCCGCTGCCGACGGCAGGTGCGCCGCATCAGATGCACTCGCCGTAGCCCTGTCGCCGGCCGTTGCCCTTCCCGCTTGCGGAGGGACTCGGCGTCGGCTCCGCCGCGTCCCGCCGCGCAGGTGGCGCCACCGGAGTGCCGGCGGCCCGCCGGCCGGCCGGCTCGGCGCCCGCCAGAGGTGACCGACTCCCGATTTGGCCGGGCGCTGCGGCCAGCCCGCGCCGCGGCCGGCCGCAGCGCGCCGCAGCTGCAGCGGACGGAGGCGCGTGCCGAGCGGAAAACCTGTTGGCTGCGGCTGCGCCGTCGCCATGGGTGGTCCGAACCAAGAGCAGGCGGCGGACTCGGTGCCGGCCGCCAGACGGTGGACGCCTCGCCTGTGCCGTCTGCGCCGGCCGCTGGCGCGGTGAGCCGGGCCGGACTGCTGGCAGAGGGTCAGCCGCCTACCGCGCGGCGCCGCGCCGCTGCCGGCTTTCCTGCCTGCCGCGGGGCCATCGGAGGTCGGCGCCGAACGCTGCCGCCGACCGCCGGCCGGCCGCCGCCGCGCGGTTCGGCCGGTTTTCGCTGAAAAAGACGCCCGGCCTGTCCGGGTGGCGTGACAGTGGTGCGGCCATCTCCCTCCGGCAGACGGCTCCGACTGAGCGGCGCTGGCCGCGCCGGGATTATCGCGCTGGAGCGGCGGTCACCGGTGACGGCTGCTGGAGCTGTGGTCACCGGTGACCGCCGCTGGAGCTGCGGTGACAGGTGACCGCCGCTGGCGCTGGGGTGAACGGTGACCGCCGCTGGAGCTGCGGTGACAGGTGACCGCCGCTGGCGCTGGGGTGACCGGTGACCGCCGCTGGAGCTGCAGTGACAGGTGACCGCCGCTGGCGCTGGTGTGACCGGTGACCGCCGCTGGAGCTGCGGTGACAGGTGACCGCCGCTGACGCTGGGGTGACCGGTGACCGCCGCTGGAGCTGTGGTCACCGGTGACCGCCGCTGGCGCTGGGGTGACCGGTGACCGCCGCTGGAACTGCGGTGACCGATGACCGCCGCCGGAGCCGTGGTCACCGGCGACCGCTTCTGGCGCTGCGGCGACCCGTGTCAGTGTTTGCGCGGTGCATGTTTGAGGGCGGCAGAGTGCCCGGCTGCGGCCACCATCGGTGCAGAGCTATGCACGGTGTGTAAACAGCCGGCCGGGCCGCTGTTGACCGGCGGCGCCGTGTCGGGGCGCTCGTGGACGCCGCCGGTGCCGGTGACATCAGCCGAGCCGCGGCAAACAGCGCCTGTAGCCACCGGCGGCCATGTTGTGGCGCCACCAGCGTTACCAGGCGGCGAGATAGCAGCCGCGACCTTCGAGCCGCCGCCGCCTGCAAAACAAGCGGCGCCCGGACGGGCTCTGTCGCCCGCCGGCGCCGGCGGGCCCGCGCCGACCTGCCCCAACGCCAGCTCGCCGCTGACGCCGGCCGGCCGGTGCGCCGGACCGTTTTATCTCCTTCGGTCCGGCGGCGGACGGCTGTTGTGAACCGCCGGCGTCCGGCGGCCGTGCCGGCCCGGTTTTTTATGAGCGCCCGTAAACGGGGCGCGGCCGCCGAGCCAGCTGTGCGCCGGTGAAAGGGGCGCCGGGCCGGCCGGATGCCGCTGCCGCCGCCGTCGCGTTGCTGGGCGCTCGGCAGCGCTCAAGGACGGCCCGCGCCGCCCGGGGCCGTGCACGCGCCGCCGGCGCCCCCGCGCGAGCGACCTGGGACCCCGCACCATGCCGACGATGCGCCTGTGCTTCCTGTCGCATCCCGGCTGTGACGTCCTGTTGCCCTGTTCCACTGTGACGGCGCAGCGTCTGTCCGGCGTCGCCGGCGCGGTGTACTGATGCCGCTGCCGCTGGCTGCGCGACGCTCTGTTGAAAGTTTGAGTCTGTATGTGTGTGTGTGTTGGGCTGGTGCGTGCCGCCGGCCGGTGTGTCTGACGGCGCCGGCGCCCCGCCCGCAGACGATGGGCATCAAGGACCCATACATCCAGAGTATGCTGCTGCTGGGCGTGAAGCGGCTGCAGGCGGGCGACGGCGGCGCGGCCGGCGAGCCGAGGCCCGGCGCCGGCGGCCACTCGGCCAGCGACCACCAGCTGCGGCCGGCCAGCTTCAGCCGGCTGCGCAGCTGCCAGGCGTGCGGCCTCCCCCTGCTCGGCACCGACCACCAGGGCCTCACCTGCATCGGTACGTCGCGCGTCGCGGACCGGCGTCCGACGGCGTTCGCGGCATCCGCCTGCGATGGCCGTGCGGTGGCCGCCGCCCCCTTCTGCCCTCTGTCCGGACCTTGCCAATGTCCGCCGTAGTTGCGCTTGTGGATGCTGATCCGAGGTCAGTCGCGTGTCACCCTGTTTGTGGTCGTTTTGTCGCCTCTGGTCCGGTTGCCTCGTGTGGCGATTGTGGCCGCTGTTGTAGCCACGGAGCCCGCGCCGGGAGGGCGTGCCGCGGGCAGGGTCGGCCCCAGTTGTCCCCTTCGCGACGGCCGTCCACCGCCGGCCGGTTGACGGGGTGCACGGCGCCGGCGGCTCGGGTGCTGGCCGGTCGCCGGGCGCGGCCCGCCATAGCGGCCGTGGCCGAACCGGAGCCGGCCCCGCGACGAGCCAGCAGGGCCACTGGCGGCCGCCAGTGGCGAGCCGGCCGGTCCTAGCTCAAGCGGCGGCGGCTGGCCCCAGCGCCGCCCCGCCGCCCCGGCCGCATGGCGTCTGACCGCGCCCCCCGCCGTCCCGCAGACTGCGGCCTGGTGGTGCACCGGAGATGCGGCGCGCAGCCGGCCGGCCTGCCCGCCTGCGACGCCGGCGGCGCCGGCCGGCCGCCGCCCTCGCTGTTCGGCGCCGAGCTGTCGCAGCTGTTCCAGCCGGGCCGGCAGCCGGGGCCGCCGCTGCTGCAGCTCTGCCTGGCGCAGCTGGAGCGCCGCTGCCAGCAGGACGTCGCCATCAACTGCTACGAGCTGTACGAGAGCACCGTCTCGTGGGACGAGCTGCAGCCGCTGCGGGATGCCGTTGACCTCGGTGAGAGCCGCCGCTTGTGCGGCCGGCCGGCCGGCTATCGCCACGCTGATAAACGGACCGGCCCATTTGAATGTCAGGGTGTGTGTAAATAGACGCTGGCGGCGGCGGCGGCCAAGAGTAGCCCGCCGCCGTCATCAGCGCTGTCACCTGGCGTGCGGTGTATCATCAGCGCGGCGACATTGACTGCTGGCCGCCGGCGGCGTGGCGCGGGCGCCTCCGGCACGCGCCGGCCGTGTTGCCGGGCGGACCTCGCGCGATTTGGGCGTGCTTTTCGGCCGGGAGGGCGGGAAGCTGGGCTTTGCCTGTCTCCGTTAGATGGCAGGACGTCCGCGCTGTGGCTCTGCGGCCATGGGATAGCGCACGTCCGCGTTTGCACCGTCTTCGTGAGGTACGCCAGCCTGTGGCGAATGGCCGCGATCGTTTGGGCGCGGTCGGCACCGTGCCCTGCCGGCCGCCTTCTGAAGTGTGCAGGTCACCACCGGCCCGGCGCCGGTCATTGACGTCACGGCCGCCAGAGGCGTATTGATCGCGCCGTGTCGCATTCCCTGTTGGAATCCAATCATTGCCGCCGGCGAACGGTCTCTTTCGGCCTGCTAATGGTGTTATTACGCCAAGCGCGGCAGTTTGGTTGTTTCTTTATATTATCTACACGCACGTCCAGGCCTCGTGCGGCGATGATACCGACGATAGCGGGGTGATGTTTGCGGCCGGTGTCGGCCGGTGGGAGCTCTTTTTGCAACGTGTCTGCAGCGGGGCCTGTCGATCGCGGCTGTCGCGCGCGAGCTATCTCGAGCAACCGGTGTGCTGACCTTGCGCTGTATGTGCGTGCCAGCGGTCTGGCCGCCGTGCTGACCCTGCGTGGCTGGCCCTGCGTGTGAGCGGTCTGGCCGCCCCGCTGACCCTGCGCGTGAGCGGTCTGGCCACCGTGCTGACCCTGCGTGTGAGCGGTCTGGCCGCTGTGTTGGCCCTGTGTGTGTGCGGTCTGGCGGCCACGCTGATCCTGCGTGTGAACGGTCTGGCCACCGTGCTGGCCCTGTGTGTGAGCGGTCTGGCCACCGTGCTGACCCTGTGTGTGAACGGTCCGGCCCCCGGCTGACCCTGTGTGTGAGCGGTCTGGCCCCCGGCTGACCCTGTGTGTGAGCGGTCTAGCCACCGTGCTGACCCTGCGTGTGAGCGGTCTGGCCACCGTGCTGACCCTGCGCCTCTCGCCAGACCTGGAGAGCGTCGACCTGAACCGGTTCGAGCTGGCGCACATCAGCAGTCTGGTGAAGAAGTTTCTGGCCCACCTGCCCAACCCTGTGATACCTATTCAGGCTTACGACGAGATGGCGGCGCTGGCGGAAGGTGCGTGTCCCTGGCCGCCGCTGCCGCCGGTCCTCCGGCCCCTGTGGCGCCCCACCAGCGCCGCCGCACGCTGGTCGCGCAGCATGCCTTGATTCGAACGCACGCCTTACTCGCCCAGTGCAGTGTGCTCTTTGTCATGCTTCTGTCCACTCGGCGCGGCCCGCTGGTTATTTTTGGCGTGCTTTAAAGCACTCGTGACTGCTGCGGGGACCGGGGCCATGCGCCGCACCTGCAGTGCCTAATCGCCTTGTCCGATGGCATGTGTACAGGGGTATTTAGATAGCGTAGCGGAGTATTTTATTGGCGCGCCGCAATTAAGTGCTGGCTGGAGCCGTCGAAAAGCCTTGTTGTCGGGGTAATTAAGCTGATCTCGCTGACGGGATGGCCGTGGGGAGTGGCTCACGAGCGGCTCCGCGGGCTGTGTGCCGGTGCCCCTCCGCCGCCTTGACGCACCTGCTGAACTGAGACGCCTGCGAGGGCGTGGCGCCCCTCCCCGTCCCGCCGACACGCTCCTCCCGGGCCACTGGGCAGCGGAGAGGCCGACTGCTGCTCGAGGGGAGTCGAGTTCCAAGCGGGTGTACGCGGGCGGCCGGTGCTCTCAGCCGGCCCGAGCAGTGGCGGCGGCGTCGTCAGGCCGATCGATGCGGTGTCTCGCGCCTCGAGGCCTGTGCCGACCTCGGCCCGGCGGCGGCCAGCCGGCGGAGCGCCGCCCAGCGGCGCACACAGCCCTGGCCGCCACGCCGGAGGCCCCTGCCGCCAGTGGCGACTCTGGCGATGTTGTTCTGGGTAGGATCGAGACTGCTAGTTATTTGGGTAACGGCTATTGTTAGTTGGCCACCTCTGGGTCCGCCCACGTGGCCTGCCTGGTCCCGGCCGCCCGCTCGTCTCCAGAGCCGGGCGTCTGTGCGGCGGGGAGGGCGTGCGGTGCCGAGCCGAGTAGCGCCGGTCCGGCCGGCCTGTCGTCTGCATGCGCACCGGATCTCCCCGTAGCGGCGCACCGTGACGCGTCCCGCCCCCTCGGCGCGCCCCGGGCTGTGTCCGGACGCCCCCGCCCGTCCGTGGTGGAGGCCTCCCGGCCGTGGCGGACGCCCCCCGGCCGTGGCGGAGGCCCTCCGGCCGTGGCGGAAGCCCCCCCCCCCCGGCCGTAGCCCGGGTTTGCGCGCCGCTCCGGTGTGACAGGCGACCGGCCGTGACACCGGGCCGCCGCTGTCAGGTCAACGCTCGGCTCCCACCGGCAAGGCGAGAGGGAGGGGAGGGGGCTGGTGCGCCGCCGCAAGCCGTCTCGAGCCAACTGCGCGGCACTGGTGACAGCCCCCTCCCGGTGGGGGGGGGGGGGGGGCAGGGAGCGGGTAAAGAGCGGGGTCCGGCCGACCCCGGCGCGCGGTGGCGCACGTGGCCGTTGCGTGACGGGCCGTCCCGGTGCGGCCGCAGCTTAATCGGTGTCGGCGCTGCCCGCCAGGTCACATGGACTCGGCCGAGGGATGCGCGGCGGCCGTGGAGGCGCTGGTCACGCAGCTGCAGGACCACCACCAGGCGACGCTGCGGCTGCTGATGCGGCACATCTGCCGCCTGTGCCAGCTGCAGCAGGCGCGAGGCTGCCGTTACCCGCCCACCCAGCTGCTGAAGACGCTCAGCTTCGTGCTGATCCGACCGCCGTTCGAGCAGATCACGTGAGTAGCCGCTGCCGGCGCCGCTGCTGCACGCGCCACAATGGCGGCCGGCCGGCCATCTTGGTCGCTGCGCGCCCGAAGCCGCTTGGCGGACGCCGGCGCGGCCGGTTTGTGCACGCTCAGGTGCGGGCGACGGCGGCCGCCGCCTCCGCGCCCCAACCGGTCCTGTGTCGGCCGGCGCGGCGGGCCCCCGCCGCCCGTCCTGGAAGTAAATACGCGGCCGTCGGTGCCGGCCGGCCGGCCAGCCAGCCAGCCGGCCAGCCGGTGCGTCGGCGAGCAAGTGGGTCAGGGGCCGACGGCTGCCAGCGCCGCGTGTCATCGGGCGGCGCCGCGCTGACGTCCCAGCGCCGGGCGGGCTGGGCGGCGCGGCCCCGCAGGCCACCGCCCCCCGCAGGCCACCGGCCTTTGTGGCGGCGCAGTTGTGCCCTCGTCGCCCGGAGGTGACGCATACGACCGCGCGTGTCGCTCGACACTTGCGCCGCGGACTGATAATTCCCCGGACAGGTTCGCCTCATTTTGCCGGCTGGGTTCGGCAGGACAGGAGGGAATGGATGCGCACCTGCACTGACAAGTGCGCCTGGCGGCAGGCAACCCGACTCGCCGCTTGCGTCGCCCCGGTGTGGCGGTAGGCCCCCCGCAAGCGGCCGCGGCCAGCCGCGGTCGCCCGGAGCCCATAGGTGCCGGCGAAGGGCCGATGGGACGCGGGGGAGAACGGCCGAAGCGGGGGAGGGGGGGGGGGGCGTGCGCTAGACGGGGGTGCCGGAATCTCGCTGTCGGACGCCGACCGCCGCCGACGCTAGTCGCGCCGCCGGCGGCCAGCCAGCCGTTGTGACATATCTGCATCTGGAGCGGGCGCGGCGCCTGTCCGACTGAAGGCCGGTCGGCCCTCAGCGCAGCGGCGCCGCGCGTCGATACCCGGCCGGCGGCGGCGCTGCGCTGAATGCCTCGGCCTTGGCGCGGCCGGCAACTGGATTCGCTGATAAAACTCCTGCGCGAGAGGTGGTGTCCGCCGAGCGCTCGAGGGAACTGCGCTGCCGCTGGCGCAGTGTGCGTTGCCGGGCCATGTGGAGGCGCGCGGTCGACGCCTTACGTCGGGTCTGAGTGAGTGCCGGTAGTTTGGTGCTGCGGGCGGCGTCAGGCGCCGGCCGCTGACGATTTCGCCGCGCCCCCGGACGCAGCCGGCCGCCCCGTCTGTGCGCGCGCGCGCGCGCGTCGAGTCAGACGTCCGTGGCGGCTGCGACCTTGTGAGTGGGGCCCGCTGACGCTCCGTTTCAGCTCGTCTCTGGGCTGGTGGTCCTGTCCTCTGGTGCGTGTGCGTGTGCGTGTGTGTGGGGGGTGTCGCTTGTGTATGTCGGCGGCCGTATGTGTGCGGCGAACGCGCGCTGACGGCGCCCTCTGTCCGCAGGTTCTGGCCGGAACGGACTGCGCTGCACACGCGCCTGCTCGAGCTGCTCGTGATGAACTACGACTGGGGCGGCCAGCCGTACCCCGAGTGTGTGTCGCCGCCGGCGCTGCCCCCGCGCCAGCCGCAGCCGACGCCGCCGGCGCCGCCGCCTCAGGTGCCGCCGCGCCGCGCCGCGCGCGACCTCGAGCTGGAGCGCGCCGGCTGGTACTGGGGCAGTCGCAGCCGCGAGGAGGTCTCCGAGAAGCTCAACGGCCAGCCGGACGGCACGTTTCTGGTGCGCGACTCGCTGACGGCGGCCGGCGAGTACACGCTCTCGCTGCGTAAGGGCGGCAACAACCGGCTGATCCGTATCTACTGCCGCAACGGCAAGTACGGCTTCTCGGAGCCGTGCAACTTTGACTCGGTGGTGCAGCTGATCGACCACTACCGCAACGAGAGCCTGCGCAAGCACAACGTGCAGCTGGACGTGCGGCTGGAGGTGCCGCTGGTGGAGTCGCGTCAGGTGAGCGCCGCCGCCGGGGAGCGGCCCGCCGGGGTGCGCGGGACGGGGAGGGGGGGATGTGGCGGTCGCGTCGGATGTCCGCTGGGGTGTGACGCACGCTGAGGAGGCGTTTTCCGTGGATGGCGTCGTGGGCGTCCCGCCGGACCCCGTCTGGGTGACGCGCTGGCCGCGGGCGGCGCGACCGCAGCGGGCTAGGCGGCGTCACGCAGTGCGTCCGTGCGGCCGCCCATCCGGCGTCCTGTCTCGATAGCGCGCCCGTCCGGCCTCTGGCCGATCGCCCCAGCCCGGCCGCTGACAGACCTGCCCCGCCCGCAGTACGACGACAAGTATTCGACGGCCGACCTGCTCAGTCGACTGCGCGAGACGCAGATCAAGTACGAGGACAAGGCTGTGGAGCTTGAGTCGCTCGACAAGCACCGCTGCATCTTGGCCGACCGCATCACCGTGCAGAAGAAGGCCAAGGAGGCGTACGAGGAGGTGCTGCGCATGCTGGAGGAGGAGAAGCAGCTGCACATCAATAACCGGGACAAGGCGCAGCTGCACGAGCACAGCCAGTGAGTTCGGTCTCCGCCCTGGCGCCGACGCTGGCTCGGTATATCGCTCAAAGACAAAGGCGTGCGTCATGTTAATGCCCGTTAAAAATGCATGAGTAGCTGTGGCACGGGCGGTGGCGAAGTCTGTCGTGAACATGGTGTGGTAAAAAATCACGGATCAGCATTTGGGTGCCGCGTGATGACCGGCATCAGCGTTAGCAGTTCGCGCGCGGATAAACATTCCAACAGCTCGCGGCCCTCTAGTGGCGCGCGGTCAACGGCCGGCGGCTATTTCTTGCCGGCCGCACGTTTGGTTTGGAGGGCTATCAAGGCGGAACGGGCGCGGGCTCTCGCTCTCTCGGGGAGGGGAGGCCGTGTATTGGCGGTGACGGGCGCTGTAAACCGTATCTGTCCGTCTGGGCGTCGGCGGCCGCTCTGTTGGCACGGCGTCGGCTGGCTGTGCCGCCGCTTCGGCCCGACCCCGCTAACGTGTGCGCTGTGTGCCGCTCGGCAGGCTGCTCGACAACTGGCGCCTGCTGGAGAGCCGGGTGAACCAGGTGGAGCAGTGTCAGCTGCAGGTGGAGGACGAGATCCGCCGGCAGACGTCCTACTTCAAGACGATCGAGAACGACCAGAGCATGCGTCACCAGGAGGAGCGTCGTCTGCTGCAGCAGAAGCGCGACCTGGAGCGCGAGCTGCTGCGGCGGGAGGTGCGCCGCGAGCGGCTGGACCGGCTGCTGGCCGGCCGCGAGGACGGGCCCGACCGTAAGCCGCTGGCCGAGCAGGAGGAGTACTGGCTGCTGGAGGGCTGTGACCGGCTGCGCGCCGAGGCGCTGCTGCTCAAGAAGCCGGACGGCACGTTCCTGATCCGGCGGCGCACCGACAAGCCGGACGTGTACGTGCTCTCGATCGTGGCGCTGGGCAACGTGCAGCACTGCTGCGTGGACCGCTCGGAGCGGGGCTTCGGCTTCTCGCAGCCGTACGCCATCTACCCGACGCTGCGCTCGCTTGTGGACCACTACGCGGAGAACGATCTGGGCGAGTTCAACGAGAAGCTGCCCACGCGGCTCTTGTACCCGGTGCTGGGCTCGCAGCCCGACTGAGCGCCGGCCGCCGCCGGCCGCCCCTATCTGTGATTGTCCGGACCACGGCTCCGGTCTTCTAGTCACGCTCGGCGCTGTCGCGCCCCGGGCGAGTACAAAGCCGGGCCGCGCTTCGTCGGCGGCGGCGGCGGCCGGCCCACCGGACCCGTTTGGTGTTTGTCGTCGTCCGACGCCGCGGCGGGGCCGGACCGCCATCGGGCCGTGACGGCGGGGTTTCAGGCTGTTGATGTACTTGTGATACGCGCGGCCGGGGCTGGACGGGCGCGGCCGCCCCGGGAGCGGGCGCCGCGCCGCCGCCGTTGCCGCCGCCGGTTTTAATTTATCATGGAGGTTGGCTCGGCTGTTTTGTAAGATTGTTGTCGGCACAGTCGGCGCGCACCCGACGCGCGGTGCCGTCTTAATTCCAGTTATTTATGTCGAATGTGTGCGTGTCTGTAGACGCGAGGGCGGCCGTACCCGACGAAACTTTGGAATGCATCCGGTAATCATGTTGAAGAGTCGTTGTTTTGTCGCGCCCTTTGTACAGTCTATTGAGAGAGGAATACAGGTGAAAACTTCTCTAGATTGGCGTTTCGGGGTGAGGTACGCCGGGCTCGAGGCGAGTGTGGGTAACCTTCAGTGTCGGTGCGACAATTTATGGAGCAAATATCTGTGTTGGCGTAGCTTATCGTGCACCCCGCAGAACCGTTCGTTTAAAGCACGTCGTGATGAGTCATCCTGAACTGTCCAGTGCCATGCGTTTCCAGACTCTTCGCCGTGCGTCAGCTTAGTCTCGTCCCGGACTCGGTGACGGCGGCGTCGGCTGGGGCCGTCCCATGTCTGGATCAGCGGGGGCCCGCCCGCTGGAGGGCGTCTCCAGCGGCGCAGGACGACCGCGGCCGCAGCCGCCGTCAGGGGAACGCCCGGCCCGTGTCGCCGGTGTCGGTCCGGTTCCGGGCGTGCTCCCGCCGACGCACGCCGCTCTCGGCCGGCGGCGCGGAACCGACCGCCGCGCCGCTGTAGGCCCGCTGATGGCGGGCAGCTCCGACATTGAGCGGCCACCGGATGTCCACGCTGGGGATGGCCGGCATTTGCAAACGCTCGGATCGGGTTCCACGCGTCCGTGGTCGCTGGGGACGGCTGCCTGTTTCCACGTGCCGGCGCTGGGGACGGCTGCCTGTGTCCACGTGCCGGCGCTGCGGGCGGCTGCCTGTTTCCTGGTTCGGTGCGTTGCGTGCTGCCTCCCGGATTCGATGGCAGGAGTGGTGGCGTGCGGACTAGTGCCGGCTGTAACAGGGAAGTGCAACAAAGTCTGTATGGAGTTTATCTGACCTTTTTCCCGAGGAGGCTGTAGCTGGTCACTCGGTAGGTGGGTCCCGATGTCGGATGGTGGAACGACTATCAGCACCCAGCATCGTAGTATCATCACCGAGTATCAGTAGTACCAGTGTCGTCCTCTGAGGGGGTCGGCCCGCGGCAGCCACATCCTGCAGACACGCGGCAGAGCTGCAGCCGTCAGTCGCTGTTTACTTGACCCTCCCGGCTCTTCCGCGTGCGCGCGTTTCATTGGCTGCCCGCGTACCCTCTGACCCTGCGTCGTCATCGTCGTATCTTGCCAAGGGCTGTTTGCCAGAGACGGTTGTGGCGTCCGCCTGTGCGGCCCTCTGCTCCGCGCTTCAGCGCGGTCGGCAGACGGCTGCTGTCTGAAAGTCGGCTGGGCGAATTCTTGCGAGTTTGGCCGTGACCGATGGCTTGGCCTTTGAACGCGGCGACTGCATGGTCTGATAGCGTTCCAGTCAGGGCTTCTGTTTTGTAATCAGTTGGTGGGGCTGCAGCCGCTTCCCTCCCTAGCTTTGCTGACAGCCCCTCAACTTCGAGAGGGAAGAGGGTTCAATTTAAGTCCGCGAAGAAGGCGAACATGGCGTGGAAACGGATGGGGAGCTCAAACATTTTTAACTGTTCCTCCTAACCGTCTGTGCAAAATTATGTTCCTGCCTGGTACTAATGTTTTCATGGATGTAGTCCTAGTCATGTGATAAAAATGGTTGCCATAGCAATAAATCAAGTGCCTTGGACGTTAAGAGCACAGCAGAAAACATGGTGTCGGAAATGCAGCTTGCTGTAACATGTGACGTTGGGGCCAAGTCTTGCACGGTGACCAGCACGACCTCACATTCTCCGCAGTTTGCCCCTACCGCCCCGGGCGGAATTGGGGACTCCTGATCTTTCCGTAGCCCGTTACGTGAGCAACAGGAAAAAGAACAGGGACAAAAAGAAAGGACAGTGTCGCACAGGGATGGAAAGGGATGGAACAAAGGATGGACGGAGCTCTCTGCGCTCTGTCCCATGGATGTAGGATCAAAGGGGCCAAGCCCTCCCCCTAAAACAGTTCAGAAATGAGCGACTGGCAAGATCAAAAGCCCTTTCCTACTTGCTTAGGTTAACTTTGCGTTTAGTTTACTTTTGCTACTCAAAACACGCATGCCGAGTTACCCAGTTCGCCAGTCATGTTTTTCGAGAAGGACTGCACAACATTTCTTGATATTGTAAATGAGAACCGTGGGAAGAGGCAAAATTGCCCCCCCCCCCCCCCATAACTGATATGAAACCATATGAAAAACACTGTGATCGTGGGGGACTGTTCCCTAAGGAGTGCGGACGAAACGTCGAATTGAGAAAAGTTAGCAAGAAAAACGAAGGACAAAAAATTCGCAGGGGTGAAAGTCGACAGGTGTCATATTCGAATCGGAAAGCAAGCAAACAAAAACAAGCCAATCGGATAAAAGAACGGATAAATCGAATAGAGGTTCAAGGACTAAACGCAGACAAGGATGAGTCAAAAATGCAAAGTCAAAAGACGAGGCTAAAAGAGACAAAAGCCGACAGGAAAACCATGAAAAGCTAATACGTACTTATGATGACATGCTCGTTATGATAAGCACAGCTCGAAACGCCGAGTACTGACAATATACCCATGTTTGGTCTATGACGTCAAGGGCATGTTCCACATTTGAGGGCACTAAACATCCGTTGCCATGAAGTAAGCTCATCTGAAGCTATTAATATGCTTGAAGTGTGGAAGGCTGCTCCATATGATACAATTCCACTGTTCAGTAAATATGCTACTCAATACGTAATCGTTTGATTGGGTCACGGAACATCTTATGACGTCAGAGTCGTTGCCAGGCTGGCCGTGCGAAATTGCCGCGGATACGGATGCGTAGCGGATGGTTTGACTCACTTGTAGTACTTAACGTGTCAAGAGGTGGCGTTGGTATTTGTTTGCAGAACAAAAATATTGTTATAAATGCGTGTTTTGGCTCTTCCCCATAATCTTCTTGTTTGCCTATTAGTTTGCGATTCTGTATCTTCACTCGCATTCACTGTATCGGCGTTATTCTTGAGTTATTCGATTCTCCTACTCATTTCCGTCATAACCAGCTACAATGCTCGAATTCGTGTATTATGTAGGACGAAACGTGATTCGTGTTCGAACATCCGCCCTTTCGTCCTGTCTCGCGACGCTCCTCTTGTCCGGGGCAGGCTGCGTGCGCTAACCACAAGTGGCCCAAACAGTCCCCTAGTGGGGGTTCCGTCCGACTGCACATTCCGCAGAGGTGTGGGTCCTTGCGCGGCCTTATTCTCGGTGGTTGGGTCAGCATAGGTATGCAGCTGCTCCCCGCCGTTAGCAATTATTCTTCATCACATAACCCTGAAATGATCATTAATGGTCGAAAAGGCTCCAATCCAATAACTAAATAACCAAATCGCGTTTGAAACTTGCATTGAATGCATTGCATCGTTCGAGGGCCGACACAAGTCTGTTAATACTAGGCATCGTGCTAACGCACGCCATATACGAACAAGGCGATGATAATCTTTGCGTTGGCCTTGGGCACTACATGGCCAATGAGGTGGCAATATTTGCGTGACGTATATGTGGCGTCATGCTTGCCTGTCGGCTTTTGAATTGTCTGCACGAAACAGTCTGCTTACGCTCATGTGCGTTAAGGTCGAAGACTAGAAGGCTTTAACCTCTAAAAGCGGCAGGGCTGTGAACTGTACTGAATGATCTTCGGAACAGCTTTCTCATTTTTAAAAACGTACAAATTTGGAGCATTTCCTTCCAGGCCTTCCTCGCTGATACATAACAAAAAAGTTTATGTATGGAACGGGTCCACATAATGCGGGTGTGTTTTGGGTTTCATAATGTACTTCACTGCCGACGCAGCCGCACGACACTCACCGTCACCATCACACTAACACTATCGTCCGCCTTCCTGCGACCGCCCTGCGTACCGCGCGCCCATCCCTCTCCCCAGCGTAACACACCAGGCATGCCGGAGACACGGGTCGCTGCGTGGCCAACGAGAGCCGGGCGAAACGTTCCATACATAACTAAACAGCTGAGACCTTCATTTTGGCGTTTATGCCCTTAGGTAACAGCTCCCCCCGAAGGCTAACTTGACATGTGTCTAGTTCTGCGCTGTCCCGTCCAATGGCGTCATCTCCCATCCAGTTGCGCTTGAGCTCGTCCTGTTCCGTCCTTTTCCGTCCGGTTTTGTCTGGTTCCGTCGGGTTTTATCTGGTTCCGTCTGGTTCCGTCTAGTCCCGTATTGTCTCGTTTTGTCCCATCCAGTTCCTTTTAACCATGCCCGGCGACATCCGATGCTGCCTTCGACTTATTCCGTTGCAGCTTTTATCCCCGTCAGCTTTTTATTTCTTGATTTTTTCCTGTTGGACTTCCATCCTTGCTGTCTTTTATACTTTCTGGGTTTTTTCGGCCTTTTCCGTTCAATTTTTTCCATTCGACTTTTTCATTCGCCGTTTTCTCCTGGGACCGTCCACTACAACCACAGAAATCCGACATTATCGAACGCATTTACACGCGTTCCGGTGAAGCGATTAAATGCGTAAAATCTTGCAAAACAATAAACGCATATGACACCAGCATTGCAACACCTTGGAAACGGCGAACCGCAAACACTAGGTGTAAACCTTCTCTACAGGCAACTTCTCGCACTGCACATGGCAGAGGCCGCGATGGTCAATACGGCCGCTCGCCGCCATTCCCACGCTTCTCGACAGCTGTTTCGTAGAGATAAAAAACGGCATGTCTTTGCGGGGTTCATGGCCACCCCATTATCGAGCTGTCTTCTCCCAATATTGGGCTCGTCCATGTCACGTGTAATTTGTCCCACAATAGTCGGTATTTTCTTTCAATTGATAGGAGCTGCATGTTTTGTAACAGAAACGAAACAAGAACTTTACATTTGTATGTACCTCAAAGAAAAGAAACAAGGGGCCTGCACAAAAATTTCACTTCAGATAAATGTAAGTGCGTCGTCGCCCAAATATGGCGATTGTTGTACCTCTTATATGACCTTGTTTGCAATAAAGGTCACCCATTGCCTCGTGCTGCGGATTGCCTCTACCTTCTGATAGTTCAGGGGGCAGTCCTTATATCTTAACACCCCTCTTGCGGGACAAATGTATTCTTCGCACAGATTTTCACTTGGGGACTATGTTCCATATTTTTAACATGATGAAGCTCCCTTATATGGGCATAGGATTGCATCGCTA